TTGCCGATGATTACGCATAATAAGCTGCGTCGACTACATCTGTCGACAACGCCCTCAGAAATTCTATCATCCCTAAAGCTTCCTGTCCTTCGGTGTTTGGCGCTTGAAGAAGGCGGGTTCATGAACGGTCGAATGGAGACGTTACTGGAGTTCCTTTACAGATCGGAATGTGTACTGGACGACCTCTCCATCTTGCATACAAAAGATATATTCCCCCTTCTACCCGCCGTACTCGAGTATTCGTCATACACATTGACACGGCTAGCAATCGTTGTACCCTGGAGCACCGCTCAGGACATATATCGCCTCCTCACAATGACTCCCGAATCGGAGCTTATGCCCAATCTACAGAGACTGTCCATACAAGATTGGCCCGACCATATCCCCACCGGTATGACAACCTTTTTTGGGTTGGGACCGAACTCCCTTTCATTTTACGAGATGGTTTGGTCGCGGGGGTCAAAGCTGAATTTTGTTTCCCTCTTTTCACGAGAAGTGCATGAAATGACTCCTGATCTAGAGGATCATGTATCGCGACTCCAGCAAAGAGGTATCACTGTTGAGCTTTTTGGTGTCAATTTCTCCACGCGTCGTCGTATCTTTCCGTGAATACCGTGCCAGTTCTTTCATTATGAGCTTCCATTCTATGTATTTTACGCCTAATATGGCATTGCCCGGTATTCATCATGTTGTTTAAAGTACGCTGGAAACCGTTTGGGTATGTGTGACAATTATATTAGCCGGTCACACATATTTTAGAACGCTGCGATTGTCCATCAAGAATGAAAACACCTGAACACAGTTCAAACGGATGTCTAAGCCTCGAACCCTCGCCTCCGAAATGATAGCATCATAGGAATAAAAATCCACCATCTTTCGAACAGCCTTCACCCTCGCATTACTGATTTGCAGGCAGAGATAGCGGAGGCGAGAGCCCAGCGTCTTGTCCCATCTCGATCGAATCATTGTAAACACTTCGTTATGGGTCTCCATGAAAACAGAAAATCTTTGCGAGGAACAATACTCCTCGATGATCTCCAAACGCATCAACACGGGCAGAAAGCCCGAGGCTGTGAAGGCAATGAATATGTCCCTGGCATTGGCCAGGTTGACAATAATGTGAAGCTCGGCCAGGGAAGATTGGGACCGAAGGGTATGAATGAGCGTCGATGCAGGAAGAGCGGCTCTCAAAACGAACTTCTGGAGTTTGCACATGGAGCGCTCTACCAGGGCGGACAGTTCGTTGACACTAGCCTTGGCAATCCGGCAATCCGGACAATGCTGGAAGATCTCCAATTCTTCCAGATGTGGAAAACTGAATGTCTCCATCCATGCCAACCCAGACTGGAGGACTACGAGTCGGCGGAGATTGTTGTGAGTGAATCTGAGGCTGGGTAGTGAAATGGCACTTCCAGGGTATCGAGGTGGTGCGCTTTAAATACAAATCGGTACAATTCCTTAGCGGTGTAAAAGTCTCCGTGAAACTCCTGTATTTATGAAGCAGGGAGGGAGAAGTTCCCCACGGTGTACATGCCGAACAAGCCTCCGCCTAAGTCTTGGTGCAGTAGAGAAAATGCTCAATGTCTCTTCCTCGTCAAAATCGTCTTCGTCATCGGACGAAGGAATGAAAATATCCAGAAACCGCAACTCGGGAAGGTCCTGTGCGAATTTAATCAGCTCCCAGACCCCTTTCTGCGGAATAAGGATGCTGAGGCCTGCATAGCGAGGCAGGTGGGAAGATAGTACGTGAAAAACGCTGCGGATAGCTTTTCGGGAGGCCTCTTCGTTGAATGTAAGGTCGATTTTGAAAAGAGACTGATCGGAGCGACGGAGGAAATGTTTGAGAACACGCAGGACTTTTCGGTCGTAGCTGTGCTCGCGTAAAATAATCATGGACCAGAGCCATTCGACAGATTTTATTATGTCTCTCCACGACCTGCAAACATGACCGAGAACCCATGGTGCTTGGGTGATATCGGCGTGGTTGTCAGCACTCCACGATAACCAGATAAAAATTTCGAGGAGGATATCGCGAGGAAGGAGAGAAATAGAAGACAATGCGGTATTTGTAAATGGCATAGTATTGTCGGCGAGAGGGTGGTCTGTGTTGCAAGAATAGCTCTCAATGTAGTAGTTACCAGACGGTCATGATGGGAAAGGAAAACAAGGAATCCGTGGTGGCTGTGCGTCGTTGTCGGCTGACTACAACCGCATCATCCTTTTGCTTGGAAACTTGAGGGGTCGACTTTTATTGGGAAGATTATTTAGTTCTCGAACGTCTTTTGTGGCTTCTACCCGTCGTAAGTACATACCCCTCGAGCATGATCCTGATTCTAATAGTCATATATTAATTTTAACAGCCCTTCAAGGACGCTAAGCAAAAAACCCAAGATCAGCCCGGCTCGGTGTACTGTCCTGGAACTATATGATCACTGATGCTGATGTGATCAGTGATCTGAATCATTCATACCTTCACTATTGACGACCAATTCTCACACGTTTGACGCCGATTCCAGCAAACCGAGCATATAGTACACCGCCTCGACAGTGCATCTGGTGACATATCCTGTGCAGGTTGGCTCTAGATTGTGTCACCAGTACTTTCTGTTAACTCCAACTCCAGCTTTCCTCCCTTCCTGCGTGCCATGGAGCAACCGTATACGGACGCGCATGAATTCCAGATCTTCACTTATCTACGATCCAACTACACACCCACAGATGAAGAAGGGGCACGGGTCCTTTCCGATGTCGCTGCCTTAACAAGGGAGCTAAAGCACATCGACTGCCTGAGCCGAGAGAAGAAGAAGGCAGCTTTGAACATTAGACAATCACTCATGGCACCCGTCCGCCGACTCCCTGTCGAGATTTTGCTCGAAATATTTTCTCTCCTTCCCCCGGAACGTCCTCCTAGCGTTCGCCAATCTTATTACACTCTACCCTCTTGTCCATTCAACACTCTAGAAATGCCATGGGTACTGAGTCACGTATCCAGTTTCTGGCGTGCTACGACTCTTACTTCTCCCTCCCTGTGGACGCATATATACATTGCGTCAAATTACGTGAAACATCAGCAGTTTCTCTTGCACGCCGCCCTTTCACGGTCGCGGAATTGCCCATTACATCTCTGCGTCCATATGGATTCGAATGATTCAGAGTATGAAGAGATTGCCATGGACATCCTTTCACTGGCGGCGCCTCGCTGTATATCGCTGAGACTCGATATTCCCGCTCCACCTTTGATAGGGCTGTCATGCTCATTCCCCCTCCTTCAACAGCTGGAATTGCATGTTGAAATTGTCCCCATCGAACTTCCTATGAGCGTCACAGTGTTTATGCAATCGACACAGCTACGAAGTGTACGCTTCATGGAGATCCGGGTACCAGATGGGATCCAGCTCCCGTTCGCAGAACTGCATGACCTGTCGCAGGTGTTCGTAGACAGATACGATCAGCTCGCGACCATATTGAAAGGGGCGAACTGTCTGGTTTCGTTGGAGGCTTGGCCTTCGGGCGTTTATAGTTCAAATTCGCCTTTTGGGTCTCCAGTCGAAAAGATCACCCACAGGAAACTGAGCTACCTCGATACAGGGTACTCAGCTCTAGAACACCTCACTCTTCCTGCTCTAGAAGGGCTAATATTGGATGAAGACGATCCGACCGTTGACCCCGAGAACGGAATAGAGGAAAAGACGCTGGTCTTGCCATACTTCTTGGACAGATCTAAATGTCGCCTCCGTCGTCTGGGTCTGATGGGCTATGGTCGTGTCGCAAAAATTCTACCATTGATCTTCTGTTCATCTTCGTTGATAACGCTCACGCAGCTGGAGATATGCGCGGAATCTGTGGAAGTGTACGGACTCCTAGGGGACAATAGGTTAATGCCGTATCTTCGTGAATTGTCGATACGCGATGGGTTTGAGACTGAGCATGGGGAGACGTCGTTCTTCGGCGTGTGCGAAGAGGCATTCAGTGCGGTGGTTGCAGCGCGGAGGGACAGATTAATCCGGTTGACGCTTACTTCGCTGGAGGTGGAGAGGATGACCCCAGACCTGGTGGAACGAATAAGGCAAATCGCAGACGATGGTATTGATACGACCTTTCTAGGACGTGGACTAGACCAGCTTTACCCTCCTTAGATGAGCAAGAAGTCCTTCCAGGACATCGTGCGTCGCCATTCTCCATTATATAATATCATAGACCATCGGGCGGACTGCATGTGTACTGCATCATGGATCCTGTGTGAATTACGATTAGTAGTCACCCTGAACACGCTAGGCTGAATTCGACGGCTTTTTCGTATGACGTGACCAAAAAGTGTTCATTCATTATGAGTCTCAACAGTGCTTAGCTTAGAACATCGAAAGGCGACTACCGCTCGAGAGATCTGAGAGGAGTACTCAGCAGTGAGCACAATCAAAAGGTAGAACGTACAGGACTCATTGGGCCTTGCTCTACCGCCAACACAGCACACAGTCTGAGCCGCTTGAGCCTCGCGAGTCGCGAGTCGCCGCTCTCTATAAGTTAGAACTAGGGTTGCGCACGAAACCCCCAGTTTTGGTACACCCCGGTTTCGGACCGGTAAGTTACCGGTAAGAAACTGGTAAGAAACCAGAGGTCAGTGGAGCATATTTCATTGAGGTAACTTACCGACCACGTGACAGGGAGAAGGATTCTCAGACTTAGATGTGTATAAAGAAATAAGAAGACGTAGCCAGAGAATTCTGATGGGTATTACGACAGAATTCATGAGTATTTGAGGTACGACAATGGGGCAGCGTAGCGTCACGGCGTCGTACAGAAGAATTTGGAAAAATGGCTCCGCGGTAGTCACGTGAATGGTCCCGTGACCTGTAAGAAACGGTAAATTACCGTACCGGTAAGAAACCCCCCAGGGAGGGTGGGTACAAAACGGTATCAAACCCCCCCTGGAGGTTTCGTGCACAGCCCTAGTTAGAACTTAGGACAATGTCAATCCTTGAGATTACAAAACGATCCAACGTTTACCACCGCAGGACTCGAACCTGCAACCTTTTGGTATCATCCGGCAATCGAAGCCAAACGCGCTACCATTGCGCCAGGAAGCCACACTTAGAGCAGCGACCCAACATAATCTGGAGACCCAACGCCACCATCATCCCATTAAAACAATTAGAAAGCACTAAACTACATATACAATCAAGATATAAGCATGCGCATACAATATGGCTAGAAGTTTTGTCCTTTGATACATATGTGAAGTATCAGAAAAACATTTTCAGTCTCCTCTTCAATGGGGAGGACTCATGTTTCGGTGTCGAAGGCGCAGACTCAGGTATCACGGACAAGAGTCGTGTGGGAGATGCCGACCCGCCTTGCTTGAAAAAACCGAAGGAAAACGGTCGGCGAATGCGCCTAGTAAAGATGTCTGGAGTGAGGACGGGCTCGCCTATTGATAGACGAGATCTTGCTAATCGTCGAGGAACGGGCGAGGGGATGCTATCCACGTCTGAGATAGACTTGGCAGAACGCCGCAGGGCAGGGGTAGGTGAGGGAGGAGGCTCGTGTGTTGGATCTGTAGCAGATGGAAGGGACTTCACTGGTCGAGGAGGAGTACAAGGAGAAGGGTCGTAGTCGATGGATGCCTCAATCACGGGAGGAAGGGGCTTCGATAGCGGACGAGGGGTAGACGGTGAGATGTATGAGGATGAGGATGTTGAAAAGGGATCTACAACGGTGGATGAAGTCGTCGAAAGAACTTCCCATTCTGAAAACGCCAGTGATGGCCGCGGCGCAGAGTCCCTCGACCGCCGACTCTCTCTGGACATTCGCATCATTTGATCTCTCGATAATTTCAAAGTGGGCGTTCTGTGCTCGTCAAAATCCCCAAGGAGGTCAACAGCGTAGACAGGGAGTGCCACCGGAGGAAGGTCGGCCAATATGTCGGCCGTAGGGCGTACTTTAACAGCAACTGGCGTATGGATAGTTGCTGTACCACATGTCTCCCTGACGGAGGGTTTGAGCCTGCGTGATAGCGGCGAACGCAACGGTGAGTGGCGAGGTGTCACTGGGGCAGCTGTCGAAGATTTTTTGATTTTGCACCACGCATGGGAGTCATCTTCAGTCAGCCCTCCTAATGACAGGGAATCTACGGTCGAGACGGACTTCTTCAGCAATTTCCGCTCGAAATTAAATGGCGAAGTTGGATGCGGTTTCTGATCCATGGACAAGGATCGAGCGTGCCTCGACCCAATGGACATACAGAGGCGCGCCGGCGATGCTTCACAAAGCGTGATCCGTCTGGCAGCACGTTCCCCAACAGCAGTGACATCAGTATGTGTTGGATGGATAGGCCGTCTGGTATTCGAGGATTGCAGGTATCGGAGAAGATTTGCCTGGTGTCTCGATGAAGTAACGGGGCTCTCACAGACAGCATCACTGCCTTTGGTCAGGGAAGCCAGCTGTGCACGTATAGCCCGGGATTCTTCCTCCGCCAATGCCTTCCGACGTTCTTCCATCCAACGTTCCCGCTTGAGTGATTCGAATGTTGCAGGATCCGTGTCCCGGTCGTTCAACAGTGAACGAAGTTTGGCTGAGCGTTCTCGTGCGTCCTCCAGGCGGGCGTTAAGCAGGGAAGCAGCCTGTTCGAGAGTCCGGATTTGCAACTCCGTCTGGGGAGTTTCCTGAAGCGTGAGCTGCGCAGTTAGGGCAAGAGCCTCTTCAGCCTGGGAGTACCGGCGCTGACGAGCTATTTCATCTCGCGTTCGACGAAGAGGGGACGTCAATGGTGGAGTAGGGAGGGCTACTTGAACAGTGGTTGGGTTCGGTACGCCGAATGTATAGCTGGTATCTGGGTCGGGGGTACTGTACAACGATCAGTCAGTCTAATAGAAGGAAAAGGACAACTCACTAGATGAAGGACGAACTTGAGGCAGATGTCCAGCTGCTCGAATTCGTGCTCTCCTTCAATGGGGAAGTCAGGCTTTCTATTACCTCGAATTGAATGTTGTGCTTACCTGCAACACCTGTGATCCTCCCCATTTCGCCTGAGATACATTTATCGTCAACGGCGCCATTTTTTCCTGCAAGCGCCGTCGCTTCGAAGGCGTTTCTGCTCGTTCCAGATCAAGTGTTGGGTCCATCATCCGGGTTGATATCAGAAATCGCAGATCAGATGGAGGTAAAAGAAGAAATATAGCTGTCAAGGCATGAATCGCCCCGCGAATGAGAATGTCCGGTTAGCTGTGTGTCGCTTTGACTGTCGCTGCGAAAGGTTGGAGAACATCAAAAAGGCAATTCGACGGTTGCCGGGGCTGCCGTAATACGATAATGGCGACGTAATAGTCAGGTGACCGCGGACATTACGCGTTCTATCCACTTCCGGTTTGGGAACAAAGGACTATTGTTCGACGTTCGACCCTCGCGGTATTGTTCCTAGCTTTTTTGTATATAAAGGCAGTCGAGAAATATTGATGACACTGTTTTCTACTTTTTTTGCCCTGGTGGCTTGATCTTGACGATCTTTTACGTTGATAATGACCCTCTTCAAGTTCTTTTCAATCATCGCTACGCTATGCAGCGCAGGAAATTTTGCAGCCGGTCATGCAGGTCAGTTTCGTTCTCAATATGTGGCGGCGAAACTGATGTCTCCTCTAGCTTTATTTCATCCGAGCATGTAGTATGTCGACACATACATTAAGCTATATCCCTTCTAATTTCTATCTCAGCGGCTTTAATGTGACAGGCGATACATTCCCTTATGACAACCGTCCCGTCGCTCCTCTAATGGACATGACTTTTGACCAGTGGTGGTTTCACGGTCATCTCGATTATCCCCCCAACGACGGAGATATTTTCGACCTCCCTGCAGGCCAAACTGCAACAGCTGAGATAGCCTGCAACAAAGGCGCCACAAGCTACTTCGCATCATCCGATGGAGGTGACATACGAGAACCAGATAACCCGAACAACGTATGTCCGGGAGCCGGCATGGATGAGTACCATACGACGGGTATTGACGACCTCACGGGATGCGCACTGGCTATCGCATATAAGAACGATGCCCGATCCGTTGCTCCGGAAGACTTTACAGTTTTCAGTGTAAACCAAACTTGTGTGTGGACTCGGTTCACGGACTTCCAAGTCCCGGCTCAAATGCCGCCTTGTCCCGATGGTGGATGTATCTGTGCTTTCTTTTGGATTCATTCAGTACGTTCCCTTCCCATCGTTACGTTTGGGTGGTATCTGACCATTGCGACCATTTGATTGCTTAGCCTGATAGCGGAGGCGAGCAGAGTAAGTATACTTTATCTACACCCTAACAGTGCTACAATTGATTTCATTGATGGGTAGATTATATGAACGGCTTCAAGTGCAACATCACGGAATTGACGTCGACGGTTGCCCTTGCCGAGCCACAGGTTCCTAGGCGTTGTGGATCGGATCTTGCCAACAACAAGCAGTTCGCATTCCCTGCGAATTGTACTCATGGGGCTAAGCAGCCTTTCTACTGGTTTAATCAAGAGCAAAATAATGTTGGTCTCATCTTTATCTTCATTTTTTCTGAGGGGCTTATCGTTGGGGCTTAGATGTTCGAGGGCACCTATTCGCCACCCATCTATACCGATCTGTATAACTTTTTGGATGGTTCTCAGGATGACATTTTTGAAGACTCTTATGATTCCCTTCCAACGCCCTCGCCAACCGCACAGATGCCAGTCCTTAGAGTGGTTGACAATGCACGTTCTGAGTCCAAACGCTCCTGGTTCGTAGCATTCTTTTGTCCAGGTTCAGGCCTCTCGCTGATAAAGGATTACCCCTCTCAGGCGACGCAAAAGGTCACAGCCCCGGCGGATTGTGGACAATGAACATTAGTGACCTTCGTGCCACCTGTATTTATGTTTAATATAATTTCAATTCCCGCTGAAATTTAGGCATCAGTGCCATCGAACAAAGGTCTTGACTTTCACATTCCTCTTCGAAGCGCGGATCTTGGAATTGTCTTGTCGAAAGACCCAACAAAGACATGTAATTCAAGGGGGTATAATAAGGGAGATCCTTTGTGCTATCGCTATTTAAAAGTCGCCTTGTCCTTGTTTTGCTAGCATTGTCCAATGTTGACTTCCCTGAACAGTATTAGGACCTATTACACCCCTTCTTACGGATTGAACGCCGAAAGGTGTGCCAAGGGAGCTCCCAGGCCCGACGTAAGCATCCTTTTCGCCCGTGGTCACCGTATAATCACTGACCTGTTACACCTAGATGTCTTTAAAGGACAAAGCGATTCCTGGTTTGAGGGCTCCCTGTGTAACCCGGGAGGACGTTTTCGACTATTGTGTTGCCAACGGGCTCACGAAGAAAACCGATTCGAAGGTATCAGATACCTAAGCGATTCAAGCAATCCACGAAACTGACATACTCTTGTTTTCAGAACGTGGCAGAGGTAGAACTTGAAGATCTCATCGAGGAAGAAGGAGTATTGTTCAATCGCCCATGTCAAACGAAAAGGCCAACTAACCTTTCTTTCACTTAAAGCTCTTCGTGATAACTCACATCCGGCGCGACACCTTTGGTCAATGGTCATACCTACCCCCTCCCTCTCCGACTATCTCAGACGTCTCTTCGAAGAGCGACTTGGAAGACCCGGATTCCGACGTATGATTCACAAAACACTTGAATATTAACATTTCGACTAAATTTTTATTCTAAGTTTGGCATGCATGACTACCTGCGAAGGCGCCGGGTCCGGGAAGAGCACTCAGATAGCGGGCGACCAAAATCGCCATCGAGCGACGGCCATCTGGCACCTGAAGCAGTGTATGGGATCTGGCAGCAATCGCCACAGTCAGTAAGGACTGCTTTCCTGTTGATTATCGACGTTTCGAACCGACACTCTCGTAGTTTGATGGGGGTGAGGACAATCTACCTCATGACTGGTCCCCGTCCAGCGATGCACGCTATCTGGAATATAGCAACTGGTCCCCTTGTCGTGGAGGTTACAGTTCTGTTGAGACTACGAGTTCTCGCGACCCCACCAGCAGTGCTACCTATCCCGCTGGACTGGCTGATGCCAACCCTCTGGTGGTACCGGAAGCTTTTTACATGTGGT